TCAGCTCAAAGGAGTTTTTTTTGTTTTTAATCTGTTTTCTCCAGTGCTCTTAGAATATTGCCACAAAGTCACTTGTATCTTCAGTGTGAAGAATTCTCTGGGAGACTTATAAGGAATTTAAGTTTTGGGGTAGAGATCTGCCTTGAATCCATCAGCTCTGATTTATGACCTCCAGCTTGACTGTCTTTTGAAGTGTGGGTGCTAATGCTGTCTCTGTTCTCAATGGCACATTCTTTTTCTTCTGTTTTTCTCCTTCCTATCTGCCGATAGCAGTCTGTTTGATTGTGATCATTATATTGGCTCCAGCCAAAATTTCACAAGGCCCAGAAAACTTGTTTCTCATTGGCCAATATATATAAAAAAAAAGCTTCTCCAAGTATTCAAAAAAAAGAACCTGAACCACATCAAACAATTTTGTCAGTATCACTGCTTCAGCCTAAAAGGCCATAAAATTTGCACAAATTTTAATAAACTTTTAATATTCAGAAGAATATACTTTTCTCAAAATCTATATAAAATCAACCTAGATGATTATACATAGATCTTTAACATTTTTTTTTACAAATAATGAAAATGAAATTTTTATAGTTTAGCCATATTGTGTCCTTACCAGTTAGGCAATAGGAAATCTAGTGTAGTTGACATTAATTCCACAAGAAATGTGTGGCAAACTAGGACCTTCAAATGGAGTATCAAAAGGATAGTTTTTTCCCTTGACTCCGTTATTATTTTAAATACCTTCACTCCTCAGCAATGTTTACTGTTTTAAAAAGCGATGATAAGAAATCTAATAAAATCTAAACATATGATGAAAGTAAATTCATACATTTTTTGTTCTTGAGAATTTAAAACAAAAAATATTAAAAATGATTTCTTTATTAGATTGTTTACTCACAAGTATAATTTTATATTAACAACATTCTAAAAAGTAATTTTATTAAAACTAATCCAATGCAATAGTTATCATTTACCAATTTATAGTCGAGTGAATTAAAGCATTGATTTGTGAATTTGGTAAGATAGTAATTGTAAGTTCAATTGTTGCGGGTGGTATATTGGCCTGCAAACAGATATTGAATGATGGAAGACAACAACAAACAAAACAAAAACTTGATTTAAAAAATATATTGACAAGTTTATTTTTGTTCAAGAAAATACATAAACAAAAATAATGTTACAGTGCACTTGGCAAAAAACAACTGTACAAGTCATATAGAGGGTGAGAATAGCGTTGTCCTGAGAAAAGCAGTTTTGGTAGTTGTTCGAGTACGTTGTCCTAAAAAGGACAGTTTTGTGATCATTGAAGGGTGTTGTCCTGAAAAGGACAGTTTTGTGATCGCTGAAGGGTGTTGTCCTGAAAAGGACAGTTTTGTGATCGCTGAAGGGTGTTGTCCTGAAAAGGACAGTTTTGTGATCGCTGAAGGGTGTTGTCCTGAAAAGGACAGTTCATGGATCGCTGAAGGGTGTTATCCCGAAAAGGACAGTTTTGTGTATCGCTGAAGAGTGTTGTCCCGAAAAGGACAGTTTTGTGATCGTTGAAGGGTGTTGTCCCGAAAAGGACAGTTTTGTGATCGCTGAAGGGTCTTGTCCTGAAAAGGACAGTTTTGTGATCGCGGAAGGGTGTTGTCCTGAAAAGGACTGTTTTGTGATCGTTGAAGTGCGTTCTCCTGAAAAGGGTAGTTTATTGCTTATCGTTGCTACTGGTGAGGATGGCTTGAGTGGGAAGACTGTTGGAGCTTGCTGGTTGGAGCTGGAGGTCTACTGTAGATGGCTGGAGCAACAGCCGATGCCAAGCTGGAGATGATGATGGCTAGATAACTGGAAATGCTGCTGATGGCTGGAGCGGTGGGCTGCCTGTCAGCTGGAATAGATACTACACTTTGATCTTTGTCATTTTATTATTTATTGCATAAAGAATACAATTGTGACACAAGGCCAAAGAGTAAGTGTAGTGAGGTTGGTCGTCACTGACTATCCTAAGCCTAGCTAATCTGATTCGCAACCCATTCATTCATTACAGTTTACTCAAATGCAACAAGAATTCATTCATCTCAATTCATCTTACATGCATCACAATACAGCATACTCAAGGAGGATGGGGGCTACTAAAAATACCCATGACATAAAAGTTTTTTCCAATATATACAAATGTCAATTTTTTTTATTCCTGTCATCTTGACTGCATATTTACCTATGCCTTGTCATCAAGATGGGATGTAACACAAGGTCAGGTTTAACGTGGAGAACCTGAGTGCATACACTCAGGTCAAATACAAAATTTGCCCAAGTGTCCACAATCATTGATTGTGATGGCCTCAATGGTGACCACCAATTCTCTTTTCTAGTGCAATAAGAGGGTGCAGAATTGGGCGCCTGTTCCCCAGAGTTGGACACCTCAAAGTATTATTTTTCTCAGCTGCATCTCTGTCCATGTTCAAGTTATTTAATGTGGAGAATTCAATACTTGGGTCATTGGTCAAAATATTTGTCAAATTTTATCCAAACCCTGCTTGTGCGGGATTGGAAACAAAGCTTGTTATGGCAGTGGATCAGATACTAGAATATGATCATAGCATCCAACTGCTATATTTAACAGACCCCCCACACCCACGTGGGATGTATGTGGCACAAGGCCGAGTTTACCATGGGTTCTCGGAGCCTGTAGGCTCAGCCAAAAATATTCCCTTAGAACCCGCATAAACAGGTTCAGGGCCTGTCTACCTCCCTGGATGAAACTTTGCACTTCGGCAAAGCCTTGTCTGGGTTCCCCTCTGCTCAAGGCAGAGAGTTTGAGAGTTGAGCAGACTATAGCATCCAACTGCAGAATTTGTTGCTTTTGAGGCCTCTTTGTATCCTGAATCAGTTTTACAACAACGCTGGTCAAGCTTTTTTTTCAGTTGTTTCTAACAAATGTGGGAGTGTTGAAAGGATACAACACAATTGCTGGATCAGGTAGTGAGTACTTGGAACCAGTGGAAATGGAGTGAGCAATAACTGAGCATTACTAAACAAGAATGAGACAGGATATCCCTGGACATGAACAGTGGAATGAGAACAATCTACCAATGTATTCCCTGAAAGTTACCTGGACTAACAATCACCTGAGGATAGCTGGAGGGTAAAATGGCCAAAAAGTGATGACAGTATCAAAGATTGTTTCTAGTTTTTAGATTAATGGTTGAGCTCAAGTCAGCCTTGTGCAGAGTTGGAACAACCAAAGGAAAGTTTCTGTTTCTTTTATTGTTGGAAGGTTAAACATGGTTATAGTATGTCCATTTTTTTTCTTGGTTCAGAAGTTAGGGTAAGTTATTATAAATATTGTTACTATGGTTGCGCTCAAGTCAGCCTTGCGTTAAGTTGGAACAACCAAAGAGAAAGCTTGACCAACTTCATACTTGAGGTTTCTGGAAGACATGTGCAAGTGCCATGCATCAAAAATTGGGACGAGTTCAGTCATCAGTGAACCGGGGAAACTAACATTTCCCAGTGGGAATGTAATTACCATGTTGTTCACATCTTGTAGCAAAGAGGAGAAAGAGAATGTGGCAAACATTTGTTTGCCTTGTTATAGGCTTCAACAATGCCACCTAGTGGTATTTTTTTTTAAACCAAGTGAGGTAATCATATTTCCAATTCCTTTACTCCTTGCTTCATGTGAAAATATATTTCTTTTTTTATTATTCATTATTATGTTTTTGTTTATTGATTTTATTTCATTTTCCCACATGTGTTGTATTGTGGAATCTTTTTGGCATGTTTGTAAATATTGTCTGTTATTGGGCAGAATATATGGTGTGTATGTTGGTTATGTAATTGTGTTAGAAATAGGGTTTATTAACTATACTATTTTATGTTCAGTTTCCTTATTCCCTATACTAAATTTGATCCATACACTGAGGTATTTGAAATGTTTCCAGTTTCCACATCCTCCTTTTTTATGATGATTTGATGTCATTGCTTTCATTCTAATTCCAGAAATAATAGCAAATAATATTGTATTTCAGACACTATTTTTCGACAGTTTTGTTATGCAAAAATCCAAATTTTGAATTTATATGGTGATTTAATCGTACCTTAGTTGTGGCACAAGGCCAAAAGTATATATCGAATTCACTACTCAGTCGTAACTAGCGAGACAAGCTTGCTAGCCATTATTACACGATATCAAAGTGCCCAAATTTTGAATTATATGTGCATAAAAAAAGAAATGCTTAGAATATTAGACTAGGTAAAGAGATCTAATGGAGATAAATCCGCATTTGGAATCCAGAATTTGTTTCGGACATTAAAAAAATCGATGACACTTCCCACACCCTCCATTCAAAAAGTGTTTTTTTTTTCAACGTAATCAATGTTCCTAATTTTTGACCTGAATTTGTAAAAAGAGGTTAATCCGAATTGCACTGTTATTGTTACGAGAGCACCGAAAAAAATTAAAACCTGATAATTTTGTTTTGTCCATCGTTTTTAAATTGTAACATAATAAATTTAATTTATATACATGTTACAAAATAAAACAAACTTTGTTGAGAGTGAACTTATACAACTCAGAAGAAAACATACGCAAAAAAAGTCTTGCAAAATTTTAAAGCTTATTTTTCATTTTTTTGTCGTTTGCCTTTTAAAATAGTCCTAAAATAAAAATCTGGATAAAATGATTTGTTTTTTTTTTGGAACACGTTTCTATTCGATAAAGGTTAAAAAATTTAAAACATTTTAATTTTTGTTTAAATGTTATCTGATCTTGAAATCGTCGATAGATGTATTCCTGAAGCGTTAAAATGTGAATAATTTGGATTATATATTTAACGAGGAAAATAACTGATACGAGAAAAACAGTCCGGTTGTAGTTTTATGGCCCTTACGGCTTTCCATAGTGAAGGCCTCTGCATATAAATATTATCACTTGACTTGCCTGTGTTTAGTGAAATTTTGACCCGAGTGGAACGAATGCACCCGTGGCTGTGATTTTCTTTAAAAAAACAAAACAAAAGAAAAAAATGGTTTTAGCGAAAGGTAAATTAATCTTGTATTTAATTTTTATGTTTATGTCTCTTCTTGTTCCAAATTTAAATAATATGATGTTTCGACATGAGTTTGAGTTTTTGTTTGGTTAAAAAAAAAATCTGACATAATTTTCATTTTTCTATTTAATTTTTAAATTGTTAAAAATTGTAATTTTGTTAAATTTTTCCCACCAAGCACCAGTATTCGAAACCAAAGAAAAACAAAATCTTCTACTAGGAAAACTGGTGTTTCTCTATGATTTTATGTTGAACTTATGTCAAATTAGAGAACTATTATAAAATTTTAAGGTAAAAAATAATTTTGTTTGGATTTGTTTTATTGACAGGTTTACGTTTTCCCATTACACCGTTTTTTTAGCCTTTTAAGTTAACTTGCTCGATTCTGACACAAGTTATATTAAAAAGTTTTTATTTAAAAAAAAAATTGTTTTTCTTTTCAGTTACTTTGGTTATTAAAGTTTCTTATTTATATTTATGGATTTGGTGATAAGAATTTGCTTTTCAAAATAAAATTAATATTGAAATCAGAAAGTTATGTTGTCTTTTTGTTGACGTTTATTTTTTGAATTACAAAAGAAACATAAGTTCAACATTTGATTTTAATTTTCAATTTTCTCTCAATTTCTCCTTAAGTTTTAAATAACGAATTATTTTTTTCTTTTTCTAAAATTTGGTGCCATAATCAGTTAAACTACATTTTTCTAACTATAGAAATGCCCGAGTTATGGGAAAATTGGTGACTTCCCATATGACTCGTAACACTAAAAAAACTAAACAGGAAAATAGGATGAGACAAAAAAAAAAGCATTCTTTTAACAAGTAATACTTTATGCAACGGAAATAAGAAAGGATTGCTAAAGTAAACTAAACATTCCTTTTTTGTTAGTTTTTATTTTCGCAGTTAATGTAGATACCTCCACGAAAAAAACTATAAAATCAGTATACTTTGATGAAAACATGCTCCAGTCCAAACTAATGAAAACTAAAACAGTTTTATTGTCAACTTTTATTGCGTTTTTCTTTTTTCGATTCAGAATGAGTTTTCGGTAAAACTAGGTCCTATTTTGTACAAAAAAAAAAAAAAATATAGGTGATTTAAATTCTTCAAAGAATTCTGTTTAGTAGTCACTAAAAAGTACAAATTATCTCGTTGAATTTCTCAAGTTTTCATAAAATTAAGTAAGGGGCTGAAATAATACATATGAAAAAAAAATTTTTACCAAGATTTTCTAATAAAAAAATTTCATAAATAATTTCATTTGTGAATAAGCCCTGAAAATTTTATTAAAATCCAACAATTATTTCATTTTTGCAAGAATTTCCAAATTAATGTGTCTGTCACCGAAAAAAAAAGGTAAAATTTTCTATGCTAAAAAAAAAGTTAGTACAACCGCTGACAAGAAAAACAAGTATTAATCAAAATTTCGAATGTTCTAAAAAGGAGTAAAAAAAAATTTAATAATCAAAAAATACTTTCACCCTTCCTCTTCTTAATAAAAGATTTTGAAAACTAAGACATTATTTAATTGGAGAGCTTTTAATTGCTTTTTTTTTTTTTTTTTTTTTATTAAAGACAATATCGTATGTAAAAGAAAAAAAATTCGACAAAAAATGAATTTTTACAAGGTTTGTTTTCATTTCTTTTACAATTTTAAATTGAATAATTTATAAAGTTTTTAAATCTTTTAAGATTCATTTTAAAAGTGAATTCTTAGGAAATATTAAGTAAAACTAAAGCGTATTACAATTCGATGACCCCAAATTTCGATTTGTTTTTGTATGTGATTACGTGCAGAATTTCTGAAGTATTGACGTACAAACTGATAAATGTAGCAAGAAAAGTTCACGTGTTTTAAGGTTATCACCACCCACTTACAGCGAAAAAAAAAAAAATTGTCTGCTCCACCATAGTTAACTATGAACACGTCAATTGGATATCAATAAATCGATTTAAAACACATCAGAAAAACAACACCCTGTAATTAAGAAATGTTTGTATAAAAAATTTTAATTTGATTTGAAACAAATATTACTTGCGTTTAACATAATTTAACTTTAAATTTGCTAATTTTCTTCAAGTAACGTTTCAGAAATATATATTTTATTTTCTCAAGATTTTTAAAATCAAGAATTAACTTTTGTTTACAAATCTGTCAAAAATGGCTGTTTTGATCGATTTTACTGAAGAAAAAAAAAAAAAGAGATGGACTCTGAACAATATAATTTCTGTTTGAAATTCACCAGAGTATTTTGCTTACTGGGAATAGTGAATTTTAAATCCTTTAGTTTTTAAATGAAAGCTTCAAGAAAGCTTTTTCATTTTTAAAAATTTATTTTAAACTTACATATACAGAATTAGTGGAGGTACCTAAGTTAATGTCATAGAATTGGGGATGAAGTCCAAATGCTGTTTGAAAATGATTGAAACACTTATCTGAAGTTGATTGTATCAGTTGTTTCGATGACTACTTGTCAATGCATTATTGAGGTTTGCTTGTGACCAGCCTCACCTGTCCTTTGGAGTAGGCAAAAATGCGTCCCTTGACATTGGTGGTCTTTAAGCCTCTTCTTTGGCACTTCAAATCCATTTGGCACCTGAATTTGGCTCTTACCCATTATTACCAGATAAATAGACTCATCTCACCCCTACCTGATATCTTATCAACCAGGGGAGATAACCTATATTTTTCATATTCTCCCAACACACAGAAAAACATGCTATGCAGCATTCCATTGCATGTTGCCAGTTCATAACATCAAATACAATATTTGGTATGTGAACATTGTCAGTTCTTTTTTTTTTTTTTTTTTTTGTTTAAATACTGTATTTGGTATATGTAGTATCATATGCAACTTAGATAGACAAGTATATATAGAGAACAACCAATGAACATGTGGTCGCTATGCCTAGCAAACTCGGTTGGTATTCAGGATGTGGAAAACTGTACAACAACTACTACACAGAGAGATATGCAAAACATAACCAAAGTATCAATTCTTTTATTAATTCAATAAGCATTTCTACAAATCCAGCAGATCAATAATAAAAAAAGCAACTCGTTACCCTCAATATGTTAGTATAAACATCATTGTTTGGTATTTATTTGACAGCTTTTTAGAATTATTCACTAAGAATAACTTCACTGGATATGAAATATCAAAAACAGTACTATCTGATGTCCTTCAGCATTATGTCTGATTACTAGTGATGTATAATTGTTTTAGACACTTGTAAATTTGTTAAATCAATTCAAATTATGCCCCTTTTAGTGGCTTGGCTTAGATTTTTAGCTTATGTGCTATTTGTACACAATAAAATTTTATTAAACAATAAATGTAATATTTTACCCTTGTTCTTTTGTCATTTATATTTATTTTCATGACATATTTTATTATTTATTGTATAGTTTAATTGTATTAGAACCTATATATGCTTTAATGAGTGTGTGCATGATTAAAAGGATACCTTTGTGGTTACTTCAGTTAAACCATATAATTTTTCAATGGAAGCCTGTCATCATGAGGCAGATCAAATGTTCAAGGATAGTTTGTCTTCAAGACAGAATAATTAAACCTGGGTAATTTGAAGAGCACTTGGTTCAATTGCTTCTTTTAAGAAGTGTTTTCTACAGGCAGAACTATTATTTGGGCCATGTCCTGTTGATTTTGCTTATATATCTTGGATCATTTCTTTAAAGTATTGTTAAAGTTTCACAGTGACTTGGATTTCCTAAGAGATTACATGTAAACAGTTTCTTATCAAAGACAACCCAAACAGGTACTACCACTCCAGGTCAGGGTGGACCCGGGAGTAATGACAACCAAGAAGTGAATCTGCATTCCCCAAGTCCTGCAAGTGGTGCCTTGTAACCAGATTTAGTTTAAAGTCTTTGTAGATGAATTCCAGATAGAATCCTTTACTTGAAAGTACTGATGAACGGAAAAAAATATTGCCTGTTACTGACAATACTGGTTGAACTTTTCCAATATAAACTGTAAATCTTTGCATTATTTCCAGTGATCCTTTACATTTTTGTGAAAATGTATTTTTTAATTTAACACTTTTGTGTTCTGAAGTAAATTGCTTTCTTATGTGCATGTTAGTACTTGTTATGGTAATTTACCCATGCATGCATGGACTTTCCCAGCTATAAATAGGAGCAGGTACTGCCTTTTGGTGAGTATAGTTTCCAGCAGTCAGCTCTGACAGTCAGACCGAACATTCTTGCTCATTGGTATGTTTTGTATTACTGTTTTCTGTTTTAACACAATTCCTCTCTTTGTGTCTTTATTTCTGGCCCCAAGAAGGTCACAACAGCACTTGTTTTAAATCTGGTACCCATTCTTAATTTCTTCATGATTGAAGATTTTGAATTGAAAATGGAATCTTTATTCACCAGTGATTATTATCACTACCATAGATACAGTTTGTCTTGATCTAGAACAAGTTTGGCCCAGATAAGATTGGTCAGAATAAGGTTGCAATTTAGTCATACTTAGGACCAAGTTGGCTAGCATTGGGATGGTCAGAAAGTGACTAAAAGAAATGGATGCTGTTTGAAGTCTTACCCAGGACTAGTTTTTTTTTTTTTTTTTTTTTTTTTATACACAAATTCCTTACTGAACTTCTTGGTCTTTCGCTTAGTTCTTCAGATAGCCTGAGAGCCAGTGTTTTGCAACTCTTTAATACTTTCCAGCATAAGTTTCTTTCTAACATTATGTATCAAGGAAAGTTCCATTAAAAACAGATGTTGTATGTTATGATTCACAGAAGATGCATTTCCTCAAGATATGCATTTGGAATATACATTTCCATCATTTCTACAAAAAAGTTCAGTTACCCTGCTAACTTTCCAGAATGGCTTGGCTTTTGCAGGATTTTTAATTAATACTATATCTTCTACCTGTATTTTATTGTTAAAATCCATATCATGTAGATCCTTGAATTTCTCTTATTTTTCTTACTCAAGAGATATTTCTAATTCCATA